ACGCTACTTCAACATTACTTATGTTAATAGTACCGAGGCAAGCACAACAGTCCGCTTGAGGGGGCGGCATTCGATAAGTTGATGATGACGGCTCTCCACGTCTGACAAAACGAAGAGTGGAGGAATCGAGCCAGGGACCTACGCCGTGTACGACGGGCTGTTTGTCGGCGACGTTAAACTGAACCGTGAATATTGCCGCGCCGATGCTACGTCGAACCTCCCTCGCGATCCACTTCCCCTCTTCCCCGATTTCCCACCATCACCACTGAACTCCATCGATGCATCCCGCAGTATGAAGATTTCTCACCCGAGTATCTTTGCATCATTATCGTGGTGGGCTATCAATGTAGAGAAGGATAAATCATCCTCAGGAAGTTTCCCTTCAGGTATCGTTGGTGGAATGGTATCATTCTCCCGTCTACGTCGATTCCACAATCGCGAAGAACCATCATTACTCGTAACCATCACAGAACTGACTCATAATCATCTATGCTCACTCCGAAATGGCGGTTACCTAGGAGTTCAATTATCATCTGCGCATAAGTAGTTTCTTAAACGGGGCGCGCGCTTTCGTTACGAAAAGGACACTATCGGGGTGTTCAGAGAACCCATCCCGAAACTCAGAACACATTCCAGAATGCAAAAGACCAAAATCGCGTTCAGAGAACAGCCCCCCAAACACATTCTGGAAAGCGTTCCAGAATAGATTCCGAACGTGTTCAGAAAACTTTAGAATGCATTCTGAAACACGTTCCAGAAAGCGAAATCTCAGAATGCAAAAATTCCTTTCCTAGAATTTTGTGGCGCGTGGGAGGCTACCACGTTCGACAACAAATCAAGGGATTTGCACAAGTCGTGGAACTCGTTTTGTACAAGTTCCCGTGATTTTCCTCGAACAAACTTGTACTCAAGCCTCGATGGCACTAGAAAACCGAATACGCTATTTAAAATGCATGCTAATCAACTTAATCTTAATCCTAATCTGGCTCTAGAGTGTGGTTATTCAAAGTGAGGTTATAGAATACCCCCCCATAAATAGGTTTGTTGAACGACTCATTCAGTTGCCTGCTGTCAACTGGTGCTCATCACAAGTAAGTGGCCCTATGAATAGTGGTGAGACTGTCTTTAGATGTATATCACAGCCTGCATCAACATCAGGCTTTGTAAAAGGTCATGCATTAACATCACTGTTCTGACCTATTCTACCAATTATCTATCCTGGCAGCCTCCCCCCCATGGTATCGACTCTAGAGTATTCTCTCCTATCGTCATCTCTTCACCACAGATAAGGCGCTTCTAACATTTTCAGTGATCAATAACTGACCTTGTTTGAACCATCCGAATCGCTCTGAATTTACTTTGTAAACTAACTCTTAATGGGTTGATGGTGGCAGAGTAGGCATACTATTCCATAGCTAGCTTCGTTCTTCTTCGACACTTATTCGGCTTGTATATTGTGTAAGAAGACTGTGATGCCACAGACTGTTTTAGAGTAGTAGCTTGTCGAAGTAGTAGTAGCAAGTGTTAGTGTATTATTGTGTTACAGCCTTCAAATCTCTGTTCTTGTCGATTACTCAACTCTATCTGATATGCTCGGCTGTGATACTCTGAAATGCATTATCATTGATCACTATGCTGGGCCTAGGGCTATGAGCCAATTCGAGACGTGTCTACAACGGAGGCACTTGAGAGCATCACCAGCTTGGCACTCCTCTCAGTTGATGCTGTTCCCTGTAGTTATGTATCGTTTCTTAAAAGTAGATATTACTTATTAGTGTCAATATGAAGAGAGTATGTCGACTTTTCGGATGAGTTGGCGTTTGTTTCACTTCTGTCTGTCTTATCATCACTCTCAGCCTGACATGCTTGTGGACGAGGATCCCTTAGTTATAGCTTCTGAAGATACCGCAGCAGTTGGCAACTCCCCTTTGGGTACTAGACGCACAACGCTCTCCCCTTCCACCACACAGCAGGTAGGATATCACTCAGGCACTCTATGGAAGTGCTTCCTTTCAGGCGGATAGTAAATATAATGTGTCGCCGTGTAGCGACTTATATACGATGGAATCATGTGTGGGTCCTTATACAAGGCATGCTACCGAGACAACTAAAGGTGAGTGTATGTACCTCAGCCATGATGGAGTCCATACGTTGGATAGGATCACGTAATCAGTGATCCGTAATACTAAATTTGTCGATACCTATGTTGGATATATCATCTCAAGTGACAGGTTGAATGTGTTTTCTTGTGTCACTAGGAGATGGTGGAAGTCCAAGGACGATTACCCAACATCGTGTAATGGGTGAGGGACCTTCAGAGCGCGGCAAGGAGGTTGTATCGTCGCCCGCTGAACCCAGTATCGTCAATAGTGATCAGGAAAGGACGCGCATTCTTAATGAGGATGTAGCATGGGAGCGATATTGTTTCCGATATTGGTTTATTCCCTCAGAATTCAGTGGTAAATAACAAGGTGTTGGGCAGCTCGCCGCCGCCGATGATGCGGCAGAATGATCGTTTCGAGGAGTTGTAGGTTGTTGCTGCTGGCTGCTTGACAGTAGCAATCGGATATTATTATGAGATACCTAGACGGCGTTGAGAGAGCTGAAAGGTTGGCAATGACGCAGGCACAGAAGAGGGTGGATGAGCTACTCGAGGGGCCTGGCTCGGCAACAGGGAACATGCTAAGGATGTAAGCTCAAGGAGGATGGTGCTCCTGGGGGGCTTCATGGGATCATTCTTGTCTACGATGCATCGGTGCATGATTGGTGCATGCTCGACCAATTCCATTACAGTGAACAAGTTCCGTGCAGTGAGCTCCGTGCAGAAGTGTGGAAGTATTATGTGCCTGCTTGTCTATCGTCTCTCCTCTGCCGCGAAGGCTCTTCATGGTGACCAGTCGAATGTTTTCACTAAGCCGAGTCGAATCAGTTAATTGCTGTGCAGCTGCTGTGCTGTTCTTTGCTTTTCGGGTTTTCGAGAGTCAAAGTCGTTCTCCTACCTTCAAAGTTGAAATGTCACAGCTTCACGATAGTAGGATTCGGGATGTCTGAAGTCCGTCGTACTACGACGCACAGGTTTCCGTTGAGATAATAGCAACATTCACAGCCTTCGAAGGCTGGAACCAGGAGCAGCATGTAACCATGCTGGCTGCCGTGTCTATATACCCCCGATTCCCCACCATACTGTATGACGATGAAGCCTGGGCCCTTGCATCTGCTAGTTGGGACGATTAATTCTGCATGCTGCGGGGTAGTTAGTGCGTCAGGGTGGCCAGTGAGCCTCCTTGGGGGGATTACTTTTGAGATTTATTACGACTGTGAATGCGGCTATCACCTCCTTCGTGAACAGAGAAAACCCCATTTCATAGTCGGTATGTCATTGACAACAGATAGTTATACAACTATGCATAGTTGTATACTATGCATCCTCCTCCATGTATGTGTGATACATCCTGTAATTGGATATCATATATCTGTACTGATCTACAGTGCGATGTTCTCCGAAGCATAAAGTGATTATCGGTATTTCTCGTATTTGCATTTGGGGGCGGTGGTGGTCGTAGACGTGGAAGTTCTCGTCCTCAGCTGGCAGTAGCTCGATGCTCTTGTTAGACACGGATCAACCACCACACAGAGAGGCCGCATGAAGCCCCCTAGCATATCAGTCACTACTACCACTAGCAGTCCTCCTCGCAGTAATCGCTTCGAACGGCTGTGAGTGGTTATACCAATGGGTCATGCATGAGTAGGCCTATGCTGTAGGTATGCTGAGGGAGCGGAGCGTGCTGCTAGACGGAAGGACCTGGAGAAGGCAGTTATTGAGGAAGAGGATGCCAAGTTGAGAGAGGAGATAGCCACAGCTAGGCTGGGGTGGAGGAATCGAAGTAATTCCTATCATGGGGTGTATCCTAGACTCTATTAAGTACATCATCGCTGGTTTAACTTTATGGAAGTAGTGGAACTCATTCTCTAATTACAAAACAGTACATCTCCGAAATCATCATGGTGTTCATATCCCCCCTGCGATGGGGTTTCATCAGGTGTTGTCGAGTCGGTGGAGTCAGGGTCGAGTCAGGGAGGAGGAGGAGGAGGAGGGTTGAAGAAGAGTCCCTGGGAGAGGATGAGCAAGCAAGAGGCCGACAATCGAGCAATGAAGCTTCAGAAGATGAAGGATGAGTTGGCAGAAAAGGAACGACAAGAGATCGAGGCTAGCAGGGTGGTGACAACGAGTCGGTGGATAACAACGAGTCTAATTCCTGGAGTCCTCAGTTCTGTCCCCCTCCGAGGCCTCGTGGTTTACTTAACACAAGCTTGGTATCTACTGAGTCTGTAAGCCAACACAATAGTAGTAGTGTGGTAGATATGGTGGAACGGATGAGCAGTAGGTAGGCTTAGGGAGGTCAACATAGCATCTCACGCCTTAGAGGATGCTGTGGACTCGAGACGGGCCAAGCTCGAGCAGCTCGCATCGCAGTTCTCTGCTGAGGAGAAAGCCAAGATAGATGCGGCCAGGGTGAGGAGCATATGCGCTTGAAACCTGACCATTCTATACTTCAGTTCAAGAAACCAGGCAAGCCAGCAAAAAGCGTCGACATACGGGAGATGACCAATAGATTGTACCCTTAGTGTGGGCTCTCTCAGTATGAAGATATTGATCCTATCAGATATGCTGAGGGGGAGAAGAGACGTGCTAAGTTGGAGCAGATGCAGGAGGAAGCTGAGCTCAGAGAGATTGCCAAGTGTCAAGGATTTGCTCCAAAAGTCTCCCGGGAAAGCAATCAGATTTCCTAGCGAAGCGAAGCAGGAGTGGTTTGTTCCGAAGGTTCTTTCCAGCCTGCCTCCAGAGTTACCAAAGTAGACAGGAAAGATGGGAAGGTCGCTGGTTCGATCCCGGGCGCTGGCATTACCACTAAGCGGAAGAGCTCAGGTCATCAGCGTCTGTAAGTTGGAGGCGTACGGCTGTTACATTGAGAGTTGGAGTAGATACGCTGAGTCGCAGGCCCGGAAGGAGAGGATAGCGAAGTTAGCCCAAGCTGTGAAGGCAGAGGAGGAAAAAGAATGTATGCTTGTGGGCTATCGTCTATTGTTGATTACTTATATGCCGTATATCGAGGGTATCGGTATGGTACTCGATCATTAGGGCTTGGGGTAAATACTCAGGTACCTATCAGCCCAATCTCCAGAAGTCCCGACCCAGGCCCATTAATGGCCATACTTTGGGTACTCTTAGATCTCCAACAGGCAATGGTGGTATCCATGAGAACCTATATCGTGATAGGGCTGCTAGGGATGAGCGCATTCGCAAGATGAGGGAGTGAGTTAAAAGGATTGTCACAGTAGGGATGTAATTGAATATTAGGGAGAAAGAGGCTCTGGAAGTATGCAGTGTGGGCTCTAGGACCACTCCCAAGACGCCGACTAGGAAGGACCTACACGCCTCTCTGTATCGTATCTGGCATCCTTCTCCTTGATTGAATGGATGGGGTCTGTATTATTGTAGTCACGATGAAGTGTACAAGCGTAAGGCTGAGGCGGAGGCTGCGGAGAAGGAAAAAGAAGAACTTGTCAAGTCATTCCTCCACGCCTCGAGGAAGACACCTGTCCGAGCCGGTCTGCATGATCGTCTGTGAGCCGTCAACTATCGACTGTAGTATTGTAGTAACCTGATAGGTTCGAGGAGTCGAAGCTAAGACATGATGCTTTGATGAAGCGACTCCAAGAGAAGGAGGATAGAGAGGCAGCAACAACAGCACTTCGTAGGGAGTAGTATTGAGTAAGAGTCTAGACCCCATCGTGTAGGAGGCCGTGCTACATTGAATCCGTCCAGGAGCATGGGTTCATCCTCTACAGTACGGATGATGTAAGTCAGGATACTCCAACCTCTACTTAGTGAACCGTGATAGATCCTCTCAACCTACAGCCAATCGTCGCACTAGAAGCTGCGACTCTACAATGGCCGGTCGTAGGGGAGTGGGGCGGCCTCGTCTTAGACCACACATAAAGACGGATCCGATTACACTTGGTCTCGGGGGCCAAGCCCGGCTACCAGAAGTGCTCATCTGCTACTTGCTAGGGACTGTTAGCTCCCTTTAGGTCTTCTCAATCGGCACACCTGATCTCTCCCCCGACAGTACAACTAGAAGCCCGAGACCTCTATCGGCTGACCAACCGAGGCGAGGAGGACAACAGAACAAGGTCATTTTAGGCTTCAAGGAGGAGGTGAAAATACCCAAGAGGAAGAAGGTTCAGGAGCCCACCCCACCACCAGTGGAGACAGTCCTGGACCAAACGCCTGTGGACAAAGATGCTTCCGTGGACTCACTTGCTAAGGTCATCGTCTCTGAGAT